TATCACACGCGTGGTTACTCAGAAGTCGATCCTAATGATTTGCATTGGGTTCACTTTCATGAAATAGTCATAGAGTGCCAGCCAGAGCTGGTTGCATCTCCCGCACGCTCATAAACAAGCTTAGAGGTGTGCAGACAAGGAGGCAAGCCGAACCAGTTCACATTTAACAACCGCCCAGTAACTGAAAGGCCTCTAACAGTAAAATATTCTCCACTTGTTTTTCTTGAACGTGAATAATGTATATGGAGGCTTATAATTAAATCATGCCTTGTTTGGGATGTAAGGATGCAAATTACTCTTCATTTGTCCTCACGATTCCCAGCATTGTGCTGTGTAATTGCTGGGAACAGAACTTCCTCCTCAGATAATTTTATTTTATTTATTTATTCATTTTGGAGGGGAGCAGTTCCTTTGCAACAGCTGCCTCTGTTATCGTTAAATGCTACTATTTCACTTCCGACTTATGGTCACCCTATGCATCAGTCACTTCTGAACTGTCCCCTAATTTAAAAGCCCTGCTGAGGTTTTGCATACTCTATGCCATGGCTTCCTTTCTGGATTTAACCTGACTCTGATTTGGTCTTTCTCTTCTCCTGTCCTGTCTTCCTCTTCAGTGTTGTGAAGCGTTATTGTCTCTTCTAGTGACGCTTGTCTTCACATAAGACGTCCAATATATGACAGCTTCAATTTACAGTGGTGCCTCACTAGACAATGATAATACGTTCCACTGAAATCGCTGTTTACCGAAATCATTGTCTAGCGAAAAGCATTTCCCCATTGGAATGCATTGAAACCTGTTTAATGCATTCCAATGGGGAAGAATTGTCATTGTCTAGCGAAGATCACCCATAGGAAAGCCGCTTTGCGAACCGCCAATCAGCTGTTTAAATCGCTGTCTTGCGAAGCTTAGGTCCCGAAAACACCCGTTTCGCGAGCACGGAGGAAGCTGTCAAAATCGTTGTCTAGCGAAAATCGGTTTGTGAAGCAGGGACCAAACATTGTCCAGCGAAATTCCCCCATAGGAACCACTGTTTTGCGAGTCGCTATAGCGATCACAAGAAGTCGATGTCTAGCGAAAAAACTGTCATGCGGGGTAACTGTCTAGCGAGGCACCACTGTATTCCTTTTCACTTCTACAGAGATGTCAGACTTGATTTGGTCTAGGACCCACTTGCTCATCTTCCTGGCAACCGAGCATTATAACACCGTATTTCAAATGAATGTATCCATTTCTTATTAGCTTTCTTCACTGGCCAACGTTCACACCAGCACTGTACATAGTCATGGGGGAATACCATAGTATGGGTGATCCTGGTCTCCAGAGACACATCCTTACACTTGATGATCTTTCCTAGTTCTTCATAGCTGTCCTTCCAAGCCTCAGCCTTCCTCTGATATTTTGGACTTCCTCTGCTGCCATTGGGTTGATAATTGAACCAAGGCATGGAAAATAACAAGCCAGAATTCCACACGTTCATTTTCTTCCAGACACTACACTCAAGTGACTGGGAATTAGCTTTCTTGCTTCAGTTTGTGCTCCCCATGCAGTTTTTCAAAGCCTAAGAATTCTCCTGCAAGAAAAGGCAGCTTTATGGAATATTGTCTATCTCTAGCAAAAATATTTTTTTAAAAAAATCTGGTAGTGGCACCTACTTAAAGTCTAACCGGTTTTACCTGATACAATATTTTATTGCCAAAAGTCCACTTCGTCAAGTGAAAAGCTTCTTCTAGAACTTTAAGACAAGCCCAGGAATCTTACATCTTAGCCTCCTCCTCCCCAGAACTTCATTCTTTTCAGTAACTCCACTTTCTTACATTTGTCCTAGTTTGGTTGCCTTGCATAAATTCAGCTGTCCGTATGACCGACTGCTTGGAGTTTCAGTAGCTCTACATACGTGATCCTGCATGTTTTGGCCTGTTCAGTGTATGTCTTATAGAACATCTAGGTTGCAGATGAAGATCAATGTGTAGGGGTAGTTACTAAGTCAGCCCTGATGACGATGCTGACTCATGTACAGCCTCATTTCTCCTGGAAGAGAGTTATTCATATTAAGCCAGGGGATAAGGTGGGGCAGGGTTAGGGCCCGCTCCCACTTCTGAGTCGCCCAGTTCCGCAGAGGTTCTGACGAGTTTCGAGTTTGCCTTTGTTACTGTGCCTTGAATACCAATGTCAGAGTGATTTCAACACTGGGGACAGCCTTTTGGTGGCTTTGTGCAGAACTAACGAAGGGGGCAAAGTTTTCCTTAAAACATCCTTTTCCTGATCAGTGGCAAGGAGACCCTAAGCAGAATCACATGAACGCCTGCATGAATTTTGAATTTAAAGGCATGCTAAAGGATACCTTTAAAAGATCATCAAATCTCCCTTCCTTAGCTACATCCCTTACAACAGTGGTCAGGAGACCCTAAGCAGAATCACATGAACGCCTGCATGAATTTTGAATTTAAAGGCATGCTAAAGGATACCTTTAAAAGATCATCAAATCTCCCTTCCTTAGCTACATACCTTACAATACTGGAGGCATTCAAGAGAAAATTGGACAACCCTCTGCTTTGATTTGGATTCCTGCCTTGAGCAGCAGTTGGACTCAAGAGGCCCCTTCCAACTCAGTTCTTCTGAGTCTATGATTTTGTATTACTCACTAAAGCCTGGCCCGAAGGGAAAAGTCTTTGCCTGCCAGCAGAAGGACTTCCCACCAGCTCAGTTTCTCACTAAGCCAGTGGTTCCTAACCTTGGGTCCCCAGCTGTTCATGGACTACAACTCCCAGAAACCCTAGATGGTGGTAAGCCAGTGGTTCCTAACCTTGGGTCCACAGCTGTCCATGGACTACAACTCCAGAAACCCTGGATGATAAAGCTAGTGCTGAAGACTTCTGGGAGTTTTAGTCCAAGAACATCTGGGGTCCCAAAGTTGCGAACCAATGCCTTAAGCCAGTCGTCCCCAGAAATCCTGGCCAGCAGAGGTGGTAGTGAAGGCTTCTGGGAGTTATAGTCCAAGAACATCTGGAGGCCCAAGGTTGGGGACCACTGCCTTAGGCAAATAAAGATAACTGTCTCTTAGGGAGAGAGGACAATAGGTAGATGAACAGACACAAAAGAGTTAAACACCAATTGTCCTGGTCCCTCTATCTCTGAAGTCATATGTGTTGATCTACCTCATTCTATCCCCATCCCAGTGCCTGCCAGGCACATCACCTTACAACTCATCATCTCCAGATATCATAATGATTGGTGTCTCTAGAAATGTTATGGGTCAGTTCTTCTGATCAGCACCCGATTGGGAAAGACAGCTGATCAAGTCCTGTTCTCAACCTCAACCCATTCACATCTGACTTTCACCCCATATATGGGGGAAAGAACCCTTGGAGAAACTAATCATGGGAACTAAGGTTAATATTGAGCTTGTTCCGCTGATGATCTGACAGTCCAAAGTAAGCCCCTGCTCTCTGAAAAGAATGGACATGTGCTAAGGAAGCCTCAGGCTCTGTGCACAAACCTGCCAATACTTTTAAATACGCAAAAGAAGAATGGATTGTCCATCTTTCTTGGAACCCTACCAGTACTTCCTACCTGAGGGCCAAATTACACATTAGACATGGCATGTCATTCTAGCTAGAATTATGTGAGAATTGAAGAAGCAAAAAATCCAGCTGGATTCCATGCTTTAAAAATCATCGTGTTGGATGTCAGTGTTTGCATCCAACAGACCTGTTCACAAAACAAATCAAGCTAATGTATTCTCGAAGGCTTTCACGGCTGGGATCCGATAGTTGTTGTAGGTTTTTCGGGCTGTTTGGCCGAAAACCTCCAGAACACAGCCAAACAGCCCAAAAAACCTACAACAACCATCAAATCAAACTAAGTTGAAAAGGGTAGGAGGTGGGTAAAATCCATAGTGTGACAATCAGTTTGTTTTTTTGGTTTTTTTGTACTTAGAGATGTTCTTCTTCTAATTAAGTCAACGAGCAAAACGGTAACCAGTTGTCTCTCCTGAATCTACTCCTATCATTTCCCTGAATCAATTAAGAGGACAATAACTCATTGTCCATGCTTCTCTTAGACAGCATAATGCAGAGCAATAAGAATAAAATGGGAACATGGGAGGTCTTAAGCATTTTCCGACAGCTGCTTAAGAATTGTTGTACAGAATTTCATGGTATGTGTAATTTGACCCATGGAGATTGGTGAGGTGTTGAAATAGGAAAAATAAAATGGGAACATGGGAGGTCTTAAGCAGACGGCTGCTTAAGAACGGTTGTACAGAATTCCATGGCATGTGTAATTTGACCCATAGAGATTGGTGAGGTGTTGAAATAGGAAACAAGGAAGGAATATTATTGTTCCAAATAATAGCAGTAAAGAAGCTTCCAAAGTTGCCCAAGGATTAGAATATCTCTTCCATCCCCATCATATCCAATTTTGTGGTATAATATATTTATCAGAAATAAGCTGTGCATCTCAACATAGATCAAAATTCTTCCACTCCCAATTGGAGAATGACCTGAGCAAATATTGCTCAATTTTTGTGGACAAGGTGTAACAAGGTGGACATTTTTTTTATCGTGTATTCCGTAACCTTTGCAAGAAAGGTGGTTTTCCAGGCCGTGTCGGCTGCCCAGGCTTGCCCTGCAATTATTTTTTTCCTACTTCAAAGCTTTGGGTGAACAGCTTCGGAAAAGATCCCTCAACTGGCTCTTCTGGTTTCTGGGAGAGAGGCGTCGCCCTGAAAACTGTCCTCAAAATGCTGAGGAAGGGAAGTGATGGGTCCTGGGCTGGAGAAGATGCATGTGAAAAAAAGCCTCCAGGCCAACGTCGAGGCAGTGAGCAAGCAACTCAAAGGAGGTGTGTCTCCTAAAGAAAGCATCAGTGCTCCACCCCAGTTGTCTGCTCATATTTAATATCTTAGCTTCATCTTTACGGCACTGGCGGAGGCAGCAGGACGCCACTCAAGACCGGTGGAAAAGAACCGAGGCAAGGCTGGGATTTGACAAGCGTAGCAATGGGCACCCATCTTCAGCTTTGTGGCCAGGTCCCTGTCCTTCTGGTGGCCCTGATGTTCTTCACAAAAGGTAGGAGATGGAGGAATTATGATGCTTCCTGGTCTAAAATGTTGGCGATGTCTATTGCTAGGGTGGTCGATAGATGCGGGTGTACAGGTTGGAGCATTGGCCTGGAGAGACCTGGGTTCGAATCCTCACACAACCATAAAGCGTACTTTGCACCAGCCAAACTCTCTCATCCTGGCCTACTACACTGGGTCATCTTGAGGTTAAAGTGAGAAGCAGGGCGAAGATAGCCATATCTTTTCTTTTCTTTCTTGCTATTTATTATTTATTATATTTTTGCACTGTATCTGTTATTGATATGTCATAATGTTTTTGTGTTATTTTAATGTATATATGTTAGGCTGGAAGCCGCCCAGAGTGGTAGAATATACCAGATGGGCGGGATATAAATCAAATCAAATCAATAAATAAATAAATAATCTTTCAGCACATGAGTGGAAAGATGGAATATAAATGCAATGAATGGGAACTATGGGAAGCATGCTGTAGTGAGGGACCCTTGCAAGTGACCCAATCGTTTAGGATCTCCCTCCTGGCATATGAGAAGAGAATACCTACCTACCTACCTACCTACCTACCTACCTACCTACCTACCTACCTACCTACCTACCTACCTACCTACCTACCTACCTACCTACCTACCTACCTACCTACCTACCTACCTACCTACCTACCTACCTACCTACCTACCTACCTACCTACCTACCTACCTACCTACCTACCTACCTACCTACCTACCTACCTACCTACCTATTTAACACATTTAACCCCACCTTTCTCCTTAAAAGGGCCCAAGGCAGCTTACATCATTAAGACAATATAAAAGCTAACAGTGAATATACAAATATAAAAAAGGATCAGACAAATACAATATCAAATAATTTTTTAAAAAACATGCAAAACATCAAAACACTCTCAGAGCAGGAAGGTACAAGCATCCATTTAAAACACCCCATTCAGCCAAGCAATCACTCAGGGAAACCTTCCTTTTAGAAAAAGGTCTTTGCCTGCTTGCGGAAGGGCAGCCAAGAGGAGGCCACCTTGGCCTCCTGTGGGAGGGAGTTCCAGAGTCTCTGGGAGCAGCATCGCCACATGTAGAGATGAAAATGTGGAGCTCAGCGGTCAGGAAAAGGTCCAAAAGTTATAGGATCTCTGGCACGAGAGGGAGGAAAGGTGCGGCTTCTGTGGGAAGATGAAACTGAGGTGTGTGGGTGTGTACTGTGTGCCTTTATATTTATTGGACATCTATTAACACAGACCTAAATTGAACAGAGTGTCAAAGACTACTCATAAAAGCTGTAGTTGATCAATCAATCATTCACTTGATTCACTCTGAAGTGCATAAAAGAGAACAAAAGACCCCAAAAAACCTCAGAAGAGGGAGAAGCATACTTTGGACTGAGAGTCTAAAAACTTTATTGGAGCACCAGATCTGAGAGATTCTTCCCAGAGCTGTTTCATCATCTGTTCTTAGGTTTGACAAGTTTTAGGTGCTAGACTAAATTGCTTTTCCTGAGCCTGGGATTTTAAAGAATAGCAAATAGTGCTTGTTCTTTTGAGTTACCTCATTTTGGAGGCTGTTGCAGTGCTGTTTCTTGTCCCTTGTTCTTTGACTTTCCATAAACTACCTTAAGTGGTAGAGGAAGTGGCATTCTGGAGAATACATTTTTACACCTAGAATTAAGTGATCAGGAGAAAATGTGATTAATTTTTTGCATTGGTAGTTATTAGTTTTCTACTTTTACCCCAGAGTCCCGCACAATTGGAATCTTCGAAAGCACATTCCAAAAAGGGTCATAACATAAAAAGAGTGATGGCATAAGGTCAAATTCATACACCACTGTTAAGCGTGTGCATCAGTATTTAATGCAATTGGGTATCTCCTTAGGATGCAGAATGTTTGGACGTCACCCTATAGAATCCTGGGACTTGTAGTTTGGTGAGATATTTAGAATTCTCTCTTAGATTGCTCTAGCGCACCCTTCTGCATTACAGCGCTATCCCACTCTAGCAGAGAATTCAAATTGCGAATCAGCAGAATTGTGCCAAGTGGTATCAAACTGTAGTAAATGAGCGGTGTAATTACATAAGCCTGTATAAAAATAACCCACCCCCCCTAAAGCTGCCTTTGCTTATAAAATCTGACCACCATTCCCAGAAAACAAGTTACTTTTCTACTATGTGGAGGGCAAACTGGAAAACCTGCCACAGACTCAAAAGATAAAAGTAGTTCTAAGGCAGACAAGCTATTGTTGATTAAGGATTGTCTCATTCGGTTTGGCTGCTAGATCTTCCAGTATTAAAACAGCAGGCATTGGAAATGTTCCAGTTCCTTGACTTTTATCATGTAATCTTTCTGCCTCATGCATGGAATCGGTGGGATGACTGCACTTTGCCATGTAGGTGAGCTTATTTGAGATTACAAAATGCTGTACGTTGTACACATGTGGCCACCAGCCAAGGATGATTGACACATCATGAGCTTCAGCAACCAGAATCAAAGGCTGTAAATGGGTTTTGTGATCAAGCAACCTAATCTCAATTTAGAAAGCTCTTTTGGTTTGCAAACTCAATGGGAGGAAAGACCACTAAATCCACGGTTTAGGAACTTTGTGTTACTCCAAGTGTAAGAGGATGTCAGCCGTTGTTACCGATCCACCCACTTGGAGGGTCAAACTACACACTGAACATGAATGTGTTCCCTGCAATTAACATGGCTTCCTTCTCACAACATGAATGTGTTCCCTGCAATTAACATGGGGATTCTTCAGAGATAGGTGGTGGGGATTCTTCAGAGATAGGTGGCCCAGGGGTCAAATTAAACTTCTGCTAACTTTCCAATGACTGGACATCAGCAAAGCTGCTAAAATGCAACATACTCTGTTGAGGACACTGTACTTTGACATCAAGGTGTTGTTCACTACCAGAGGAGCACCACATTGAAATGCAGTAGAACCCTGTGTCCATGGGAATTAGTACCCGTGGTTTCACTTATCTGCTGCTGGAAAATAAATAAGTACAGTGGTGCCTCACTTAACGACGATAATCTGTTCCAGGAAAATTGCCGTTAAGCAAAAACATCATAAAACGAAATTTAAAACCCCATTGAAATGCATTCAAGCCCTGTTCAATGCGTTCCAATGGGGTAAAAACTAACCGTCCAGCAAAGATCCTCCATACGGCGGCCATTTTCGCTGCCTGTATAGCGAGGAATCTGTCCCTAAACACAGCGGGGAGCCATTTTAAGCACCCGGCAGCCATTTTGAAAACCTGATGATCAGCTGTTTTTGATTGTCGTACAGCGAAAATCGGTTCCCGAAGCAGGGAACCGATCATCGCTAAGCGAAATTCCCCCATTTAGACCAATTGTGATCGCAAAAAGATCATCGTTACGCGGATTCGTCATAATGCGGGGCAATCATTAAGCGAGGCACCACTGTAATCCAGCAGAAATGCATGTTCCAAGGTGTATTACCAGGACTGACCACTAGATGAAACCACAGACTGTGCTATTTTTTTTGGACTTATATACCGCCCCATAGCGCTACAAGCACTCTCTGGGCGGTTTACAATTTTAATTATACAGGCTACACATTGCCCCCCCCCCCAGCAAGCTGGGGACTCATTTTACCGACCTCAGAAGGATGGAAGGCTGAGTCAACCTTGAGCCAGATACCTGGGATTTGAACCCCAAGTCATGAGCACAGTTTTAGCTGCAATACAGCGTTTTAACCACTGCGCCACGAGGCTATATACAGGTGGCTTAACTTCTCCGAGGAAAACAGCTTCCAATGTGTTAGTGCAAGAACGTGGAAATGGTAGCAGAGTTAGCAGATTAAAGTCCAGTCCAGGCAGTCCAAAAGAACCGCACACATGCAGGCAGCTTCACCAACACCAGTGTGCATTTACAGGCTCTATACAGCAGTGCAGTCCGGCAGCATAACAGCATAACACTCATCAGAACAGGAGGAAGTACATGTACATCTATCTGTGTCCAATCACAGACATTGCATCCTATATGAGTCAGCCTTCATGAGTCATCATGACTCAGCATTTCTACACACCTGTTCACTATGGCTGCTCATTAACACACCTTATTCTGTTCAGGCCTGTAAATTTACCTTGACACAATGAAATGGAGAAGCCGCATTTCTGAGGGAAGGAGAGTGGAAAAGCACAAGTTGATGGTTTTGGGGACGGTTCCCTTGCAAACAGGAGGGCAAGAAACCCTGCCCGTTGGCAAGACTGGGTCAGGGCTCCCTCTCTGGTGCATGGACACCAGAGAAACTGGAAGTAAATGCTTCATCTATCTGCTGTTTCCAGCATCCATGTGTATGTGTGTGTGTATGGGTGGGACTGTGATGAACCCAAAGAGATTTGTATATAATCATTCACCGTGAACACAGGCAGAGGTAGTCAAAGGGGACAGAAAGCACAGAGAACAGATGAGACCCAATGTGAAAAAAAAGAGGGAAAGCATTACTGTATTATATTTTGCTGGGGAAAGGATGCACTAAGTGAGGCACAACGAAACTCTGTGCAGGCTTGAGCATGTTTCTGAACTACTCGGGTGTACATGCCATGAATTCCTCATCGGTTAGCATCTTAGGCTGAGAAAATCTCAGTCAATCCTTGTCCTTTAAAAACAACAACAGCTCTGTTTATCAGTAGATTTATTTTTCAGGATATTTCTACTTTTCCCGATATCCAAAGATCTCTGGGCAGAGTACAAGCAGAAAAACAGAATCTCAACACCACAGCATTAACAACATTATCTCCTTTCCCAGGGGTCCTCTTCGTGGTCATTATAAAAATGGGGGTTAGGCTAGGGAAGTGATTCTCAGCCTTGGGTAACCCTGATGTTCTCGGATTGCAATTCCCAGAAATAGAGATGGGCACAAACTTCACAAACTTCGGTGGTTCATGCTGGTTTGTTTAGCATCCAAACAGGGGTTCAGTCCTTCAAAGCCCCACCGCTTCCAGCAGCTGCCCATTCAGGGGAAGTGTTTGGGGGAGGCGGGGCAGAGAAGCCAGCCCACTGCTTCCAGGTGGGCACCCGCTGGAAGGCGGGGCTTTGGACTGCTGAACACCTATTTGGTCGCTAAACGAGCCAGTAAGAACTGCCCAGCCAGCACTTTGTGCCCGTGTCTACCCAGAAACCCTATGCTGTACAGCTGGTGGTGAAGGCTTCTGGAATTGCAGTCCAAGAACATCTGGGTTACCCAAGGTTAAAAATCCCTGAGCCAGGAACTTATTAATAGGTGCACAAATATAAAGAAAGGATATGGGTACTGCCTCGAGAGCACCTCCAGTAGATAACATGAACACCAACTAGGTTTTTAAGAAAATCCTCCGCTCACACCAATGAGGTGAACATTGACTAACGATGGTGTTGTTCCCCAGTCAAACCTAGGTCATTTTCTTAATTGTTGCTGTTGCATAGACCATCCTGGACTTTGAGTGAAGGCATGGCAGGAGCATATATTGCAGCACAGTCCTGATTCAAAAACAAGCTGACTCTAGTCTAGGAGGTTTCCAGAAAATCTCTTTATGCTAGCAGAAATACATTTATGCAATCCCACAGTTGCATCTTCTGCTATCAAACTGCATGCAAAAACAGCCCCAGCTGAAGAGCAATCTAGACTTACCAAATCAGATGTAAGACATACAGCTTCTGCTAGATTTTGAATCAGTGCCAAATTGTACTGAGCATTTAAAAAGTTATTGTGGTGCATAAGTTTCCTTTTGAACTTCTCTTTCTGCAACCAGAGAGTGTTTTTCAAGCCTCAGACTGTGTATTAACTTCTCAGAGCTGGACATGTTCTACACTCTGTCTAGCCACCTGCAAACTGTCAGTCTATGGAATTACTTTTGGTTTTGTACTCCATCAGGTTTGGGAGCAGCTAAAGGATATTGACTGAAATCCTGTTGCATGACTCTGCGCACACAGCAGTGTTGATGTCAGCAGCAGCAGATTGATGCTACTAAAAAGTATTCCAAATTGCACACAACTTGGACACAATACAACAGAGTCGTGTGCACCGCAGAAACACCAAAGGAGTCTTTAATAGAGATGGGCAAAACCTCGGTTCAGAAGTCTGGTCCAATTTGTCACCGTGCTTGCACAGGAGTTATGCAGGCACAGTGCCCTCCCTTCTCCCGCCTTCCTTGCATGCTTGCCCATTGCTCGGGTGACGCACGCTTCCCTCCCTGCCTCCCCAGTGTGACTACCCACACTCACCTTTTGCAGCAGGCACTTCCCTCTTCTGCCTCCTCTGTCAGCCGCCCACTCAGACGAGGAGGCAGAGCAAGGATTGCTGCAATGCTGCCTTTGAGTGGGCCCATCTCTAGTTTTTAATCAGTAGGGAATTTCCCGCTGAGGGTGACATCAACCCTGTTGCACCTGCAGCGCTATGAAGCCATCGGATTCATTCCCTATTAAAGCGCCTTGTGTTTCTGCATACATTGGCTTGCAACACCTTCCAAAATTTGTCAGATCTGAGTACAAAATTATGCAACCATCAAGCCACCTGATCATATGTGCCTCAATGTGTCCCTCACTCCACAGCCTCCTCCAGCACACGATGAAAAATTAAAGAATACGAAAGAGTCACGGAGCGCCATGTTTGGGCATGCCTTAGAAGTCTGGCAGAATTACAGCAATATAGCTATTTTAGGCTCTTTCCCAGTTTTGTCTGGACATAGTGGTTGTGCGTTTGGAAAACTCTTCAACTGGAATTTATGATTACTTGCCTATGATGGTGACTAGTGCATTTTTCCCTTTCACTTAATTAATGATCTGGCTGAGCAGCATATGTATGTTTCCTTGTTGTTGTGTGAACAAAATGGGTCCGGTCTGACAAAGAAGAATCTCCAGTTCACGTTTCTCTCCTGGTCCTTCATCCTGCACCTCCTTGTTCTCTACAGGTGCCCTGTCACTGGAATGCCATAGCTGCGTGGACCGGGGAGATGGTGGCTGCAGTGAAGGGAACATAAAGCAAGTGACATGTCCAGCATCTACCCATGTCTGCGTGGAAACCGTGGCTGCTGTAGAATGGAGTGAGTTGGAAATAATTCCATTTTCCCCCCATCCTGTTTCCCTTTACTCTGAACACCATTGATTCCTGAGACTTCAAGGCAGGGCCTTGGAAGATTAAGCCGACATAATGAAACCAGGTTTTAAGTAAAGATGGGCAAAACCTTGAAAATTTGTGTTTTGTGATGGCTCAGGGTTCGTGGCTACTCACGAACCATAAACTTTCATGAACACTCTTGATAAAAACTAACGAGTTGGCAGTTCGTTTTTTGGTTTGATACTGGGAGGAGGGATGGGATCCCCAAACTGAACCACAAAATTTGGCCTTGGACACCTTCAAACATTTTGGCCTCGCTTTCAGATTATGGATGGTATTGTCCAAAATAGCTAGAGGGCCCTATGTTTCCTACCTCTGGTTTAAATAATTATTGAAGGAGGTTGAGGACATAGAGGTCCCATCGTCTGCCTCTCTTCTTTGCAAGTTGCACCAGTAGTGAGATCAGAGCCTTGGAGAGTGATGAAAAAAATGCCCTTTTTTGAATAACCTCCATCATCCCCAGCCCAACATGGATATTTTGAATAACCTCCATCATCCCCAGCCCAGCATGTATATATGTAGAACTACATGCTCACCACCTTCTGGGGTCATGTTTCCATTGAGGCCATTACTACCTGTTCTGCACTCTGAGGTGATTGTGAACAGATACTTTTCTGGACTATATAATCCAGAACCTTCCAAATCAACCTGGGGCTGTATATGGACCATCATTTCCTTACTTCCTGGAATTACCTCTTAGCTTTTCCCATTTATAGGTCACGGGAAGTTCTCCGTTGGTGAAAAGGGCTGCGGACTGGGCATGCCGGGCACCAATGACAAAGCAGTAGATCTACATGGCATTCTGGCCTTCTCCCAGCTGCGTCAGTGCAACGACAGCAATTGCAACACCAAACTGGACATCAAAACTCTGGAGCTGCAACCCATGGGTAAGAAGCAGAAAAATTAAGACAGAGACTGGACTTCCATGTGAGACAGCTAAGCATTTGCCCTGGGCACTGAACTGAAAGAGGTGCTTGGCTTTACTCAGTGACATGACATCTACTAAATGTCACCGGTCAAGGCAGTGGTGTTTTTATAACCCTTTCTCCCAAGTTCTACAAGGTGCTTTAAACGTAAATTTCCAGTGATTGGCTCAAATCCTGTTGCATAGTTATGCCTGCAGAAGGCAAACGGTGTAACTCACAGTGGCTTCTCATTGCTAAATGATGAATCCCTGTTTGAATTTTCAGGCATGTGCCAGTCTTGTGGGTTGGTGTGTGTGTGTGTGTGTGTGTGTGTGTGTGTGTCTGTGTGTCTGTGTGTCTGTGTGTGTGCGTGCGTGCGTGCGTGTGTGCGTGCAGAACTCCATTGGGGCTGTGCAGTGTTGATGCCTGTTTAGTTCCAGGTCTCCGATGAAACTCTGCCCGCCAAATACACACACACACACACACACACACACACAAAAGCACACACACACACACACACACACACATTGAGTGAGGCTCCTGTGTAGCAGAGCTGAAAATTTGAGGGAACGTTGCACGGACCCAGAACTCCTCAGGCATAACTCTGCAATAAGATTTTGGCCATCATCTTTCTGATAGGATTCTTTTCCACTCTCCTGTCTCATGCAATCTTTCTGCCTAGATAAAAACCATCAAATTAGAGTTTTGCCTGGAGTTAACAAACAATGTTATGCACCACAGTGGACGACTATAAACAAACCCAGACATTTTCAGGCCATAGTTAAGTGAAACCACAGATACCAAGCCTGCAGACATGGGGTTCTACGGTAGAGGCAAACTGTGTGTGGTCCTAGAGAGAATATATGCCCAATTTTGTAGTTATCCACTGATCACTCTCCCTTCCATTACTTCGTACAGCTTTCCCACCCTTTTTCATATTTTCATATTTTCTTATTTTGGACCTCAAGTTCTCTTTCCCACTCCTGTTCCCACTTTACAAGCAACCTTTTGTTTTCCTTCTCTTTTTAAAACATAAATTGAACCACTAAATTAATGACTATATATCGAATCTAAATGGAGACTCTAAATAAATTTCAGCTAACTAACATAGCATTATAATACCATTTATATTGTTATAGTGGAGTACATTTTCCTTCAGGTTCACATGGGGCAGGGTGTAGAAGACAGTTTATTGTTCTACCTAATGTAATTTTTAAAAAGGAAACCATGTATTTATCTTTGGATTCATATTCTCAACATAATTGGACTCTGTCCCTATCTAATTTCTCCTGTCTCTTTCTCCTCTGTCTCTTTCTCCTCTTCTCTTTCAAAGAGTAGACCTTTGGTCTAGATGGGCTGGATAGAAACCCAATAAATAAATAAATTAAATTTCTTTCAGTCCCAGGCATGTATTCATAATTATACCCTGATATTAGTTATCTCAAAATATTACTGCATATAATAAACATCTCTCCCTCCAGTGGTCACTGCTGCTTTTTGGAAATCCTATTTTGTATCATAGTTCAAAGGAACTATAGATGATAAAGAATTCTCTGTTAGCATATTCTCAGAGAATATTCAAACACATTATAGGTCATGGTTTGAAGGCACCCTTTTTCTCATTGCTAATATCTTTTTTTTCCCCTTTCCTGACAGATAACGAGAGTGCAAGGGTCCCAAATGGTGTGGAATGTTACAGCTGTGTTGGCAACGAGTGTTCAGTACACAACTCGAGCATCGTCAAGTGCTATGATGCTTTCCGTGGTTGTTTCCATGGCAATGTTACCATGAGAGCCGGTAAGACCTCTGAAGAACATCTAAGATGGCTGTCATTTGGTTAGGCCAAATTAGGTTACTATTCTCACACTTGACAGGTGACCTTTGGAAAGGAAATGGTGGGATTTAGTAATCATGCCAAATCACATCACAAGAATAAAAATTAGAAGAGAGGCTTCCCAGAGCAATCTCCTGAAGGAAAAGAACATTAGGCAATAAAAAGTTTAAAATGGCTTCATGAACATGCATTCTATAGTGCCGTGTATTCTTGGTTCTACTGTATACCGTGGAATCCTGGCAACTATAAAAAAGAAAAATCCAGGAAAAAAGACTTGTATGTCAACCGCATTTGATATATATTCAGCTGGGAATAATTGTAGCTATGGACTTCGGTGCAAAATAGGTAAAATGTCAGATGGGATGTAAATCCAAAGCAAATGGAACCAATCTGTGGAAGCTTAAGGGGATGTCCTCTCCACTCATTAGGAAACTAGTGTCTAAATTCTACTGAGGTAATTTGTGAAGATGTATTCTCAAAGGCTTTCACGGCCGGGATCTGATGGTTGGTGTAGGTTTTTCGGGTTCTTTGGCTGTCTTCTAAAGGTTGTTCTTCCTGACATTTCGCCAGTCTCTGTGGCCAGCATCTTCAGAGTACTGGAGTAGGGACTCTGTCCATGCTCTAATTTGTGAAGCCTCCTTGTCCAAACAGAAGACCATTTTGGGAACAAACCCAGAATGATTGTAGGGAATAAACATCGACCTTCATATCCACAGAAAACATAAATATGTCAACAACAGGCAGAATGGCTCCAGAGGCCTGGGGATGAGTGAGATATTTTTGTATCTGCACATTCCCAGCTTTTATAGCAAATTCCTCTCAAAGATGTGAGTTTTACTTGGAATGTGATAGAAGTTTTGGACTGACTACAGTGAGAATGGGCTTTATCCAGCAGTGGAAGTTCATTAACGCTAAAGCAGAATTCAGCATATAGTGGGAATCTCCCACCCTATGACAGCATTGGCCCCAAACATGTTTTTTAGGGTCTGCATAAGTAGCTGCAAAACCTAGGTTTGAGGAGCTGAAGTCCTCCACTTTACTGCTAGTGTCATGATGGAATATGTTCCCTGCTTCCAAGCTGACCCATATTCCTGACTTTGCCTCCTTTTTACTTCTTTCCAGGCAACTTCTCCTTGACCAGGCCTATCAAGGGTTGTGTCAAGGATGAGGAATGCACAAAGGTCAAGAAAGGAAGCCATGCGATCACCCTGGTGGGATCCTGTTGCAATGGAAGCCTCTGCAATGTGAACCTCTCCAACAAAACACACTTCTCTTCTAAGATTCCACAGCTTACACTTCTGCCCAAAAAAGATGCTTCCACCACTACATCCACACCCCCTTCTACAAGCACCCATGTCAGTGTAACAGCCTCTTCTGCGGTCAACAAACATCCCATCACAGCGGGACCTTCAAAATCCAGCCACGATGATCAAGACCACGACCATGACCATGACCACGACCACAACCATGACCACGACCACGACCACGGACACCATCACAATGGTGATGATGAAGAATTCACTCCAGCAAGAGATGGGAGCACCTTCACTGCTGTGAAAGTTGAAGAACGACACAACCAACAAGCTCAGTCGCCACATGGCCCAGGAGGCAACGCAGCGAACTTGAGCGGCTCCATTTTGCCAGTCTTGCTGTTGGCTGCATTGCTCATGTGAAAGAAAACTGAAGAGGTGAAATCATAGTCAACCTGCCTTTTCCCCCCCCCCATCACTGGTTCAGTCCCATCCAACTAGATTCTGCTGTCCTGTTTTTACAGGACTTCCCCTAGTCAGATTAGGCTTTGACCTACCAATGTCAGGCATCTTGGTTTGAAACCAACATTTTAAATATTAACCATGGTGAACACCCTTCAGGACATAATCTGTGTCGGCCATTTTGTCATAATCATGGCAGCCATTTTGTCATAAGCAACAATGAGTGGTCAGAATCACTGAGTAGTTAGACTTCGAAAAATGACATTCTGTATTATGTTGATGTGTAGCAAAAATGTTCTGTTCTTACAAAACGTAGTCAAATTACTGTTGCATGTGAGCCTTCTCAAGGCTCATTTTCAAACTTGCCACTTGGTGTAAACACAAGAGCGGCCATTTTGTAACCACCCTTTTGAATGGAGATTTCTTTGGTGCAACACTGGCTTCATCCAATAAGATTTGTCTGGCTTCTGAGGTGCTTTGCTCTCTTCCCTTCACCTTGCATAGTTCCATGGTAGGGTTGTCTTAATTATGGAAAGACGTAATGCTTACAAGGAGTTAACAAAATTTACTAAAGCAGGTTAAACGTGTTAACCATGTGCAAATCTTATAAGATTTGGTGGACTGCCAGGTTGGAATCCATGAAAAAGGATCCTTTTTGTCCAGAATGGGACATGTATAGGAATTTATTTATATACTCTCCCTGACACTTTAAACCCTCTGCATTTGAGTATAAATTGATCTGCAAACAGTGACATAGAGATAAATTCGGTGTGTGTGTATGACAGACCCTGTAGCCAACCGCCACTCCACTCTAAGGAAATATTATAAATGTAGGCAGCTTTTTCAGTGTACCTCAAGAAAAGAGGAGCAGGGTTTTTGTCAAGTTATTGACTCTTAATTGCCTATGCAAGACTAAACCCTCTCATCTACTTTGTATGACAGCAGGGGTAGTTCTCAACAGTGAAAGAAAAGATTTTGTAGGAATCATTTAACATAACACATCAAGATACCAATGCTTCCACCCACCCAACCACCACTCCCCCCCCCATTTCATCTCCTGAAGGATCAGTATTCTAAATCTTTCAAGATCTCTCAAACTTCCTTCCTCAATTTCGGCAGCTGCCAGGGAAAAAAAGAGCATTTGTTTTCAATCAAACAAAGCTACAAACACACGACAGTTAATACCGTAAACTGTTTATGTGGGACTTAATGACTCTTTATTCCACTGAAACGTTTTTGAAATAGTGTCTTTCCAAAATATGGCTCTAATCCAGGGTGCAAAGGATTACGGTCCAAATTTTGTCTTGATGTAGAACACTTGGAAAATTTTGAGATGAGACAAACCTTGCTTTGAAATTTGGATTTTCATCCTGTAATTGGATATTTGGGAATAAAAATTTGAAATTTAGTGAGCATCGCTTCAGGACAGTATATTCTGCCTAGTTCAAGGGGAGGGGGGTTGGTGAATCTAAATTTTACCAATGCTTATCTGTCAGATATTATGAAGTACTGAATGCTACAGGATATCAATTATTACCAATAATATTGCTGTTTACAACTGTCACCCCCATCCTCCTGCTAATCCAGAATCTTTTAAAGCTAATCCTGAACTTTAATAATTGCCTAATGGGCTGAAAATAAAATTTAGGAGGCATTCAATTCCATTCTAGTCCAAGGCAGACGTGACCCCACACCCTAAAATTGTGAGTGGTGTGTGTGGATTTTCCTCCATTCACACTATGAGCTGGCTACAGATCACTTGAGCTTTAAAAGAAGACGTATCAATGAAAGACGAGGTCAATCAGAACATAAGTTATATTTAGAGAAGATCAAATTGGATGGCATGTCCTGCCTCATCACTGCATCCCTTGCAGTGCAAAGGCAGAACGGGGTAACCATTTGGGGTTTGTGTCTCAGGTGTATCTTGTTCGGGACCACCGGGTTTTCCATAAAAAACCTTCAGAGCACTCTTGTAGAGGGGCCTTGACCTACTCCTTCAAAGAAGGCAATTTACGCTTTAATGCAAGGCTGTGTTAAAGAATTATTTATGCTTGCACTTTGGGGCGATACATTTTTAATGCTTCTCGCCGCCCTGCGTCTTGTTCCTTGATAGCTACTTTTTGAATCTGGTCAGGGGGCCCTCCTTGACTGTGTGACATAGCTTTGGGAACTTCCTTTGGGATCTTGAAACAGGCGAAAAGGACAGTCCAGATTTTTTTAAAGAAATGTATCAGCTGCTCAATGTTCATTATTACTTCTGCTGTTTTGTAAATAATCCTAGGTTTTATCTTTGCCAAGCCAGAAAACTGCCGGGAGGCACCTGGCTGAAAAGCTAATTATTATAGTTAATAAACGGTTTGCCATTTGGCTGGGAAAAAGCCTCTGTGTACGTGTTGGGTTCTCTTTTCTTTAACAACTTCTTTTTCTTCTTTACAGCATGGGACTGCGTAATGTAAACAGGGAGCTCTCTAGTTTCTGCATTTTATAGCAGGGGTGGTGGCAAGCCTTTGGGTCCAAGTCCCGAGTTCGGGTCTTCAATAGCAAGTCCCAAGCCCCAGTTCTGAGTCCCTAGGAAAAACAAGCATTTTTCCCCAGGAAAAAAGGGAAAGGCGTGGGTGGGTGCGTTCCGAGTCTAGTCTGAGTCATTGAAAAAAAGAACCGGAGTCAAGTCCAAGTTGAGTCACCAGTGAAGGGACTCAAGTCTGACTTGCCATCAAGTCCCACAACTCAAGTCCCATCTCTGTTTTGCAGTCTAAATTCTACAAAAGGGAGAAAGGATGAGAGGAACGCTGAGATGCTGGTGATATTAAAAGAGAGATGCACTGATTATGCAGCAAAGACCCAAGGGTCTCCTGCATGAAGAAAGCAGGCCTCTTTGAGGAACAAATAAAGATGAAGCAGGGAAGATTGACCTTGAGGTAGAAGTCTTTGGCCAACAAAGCGGTTGCAAACCAGCTTTCCCTGAACAAGTTCTGGTTGCCAAACTTGATCTTTTTAAGTGGCTTGGGTTTGTCAAACCCTAGCGCCTCTACTTCTGTCTCACGCAGACTGCCCTTTCTGGATATTTGTACATTGCCGTGTGAAGATCATTCAAACCACTTCCTGAACGGGTTCCAGGTTTTGTCGTGAGAAATTATGACAACTTAGCTGACTTCATGGGAAATTAGCTGACTTTCCTCTATATACACACATATAACAAGGCTCATTTAAAAAAAAATGCAGTTAGATTCATTGTGATATGACAGGCAGAGGAACTGCCTAGAACTGAGAAGGCCTGGATTCAAATCCCAGCTCAGTCATAAGAGCTCATGGGAGTTGGGGATTAGAACTGTTAAAGGTAAAAAGATAAAGGTTCCCCTTGACATTTACAGTCCAGTCGTGTCCGACTCTAGGGGGTGGCGCTCATGCCGCTTTTCAAGCCATAGAGCCAGCGCCTGTCCGAAGACAGTTTTCCATTGTCACATGGCCAGCGTGACTAGGGAACGCCATTTTACCTTCCCACCTATTTATCTACTTGCATTTACATGCTTTCAAACTGCTAGGTTGGCGAGGAGCTGAGACAAAGCGACGGGAGCTCACTCCGTCGCATGGATTCGATCTTATGACTGCAGGTCTTCTGTCCCTGCAGCACAGAGGCTTCTGCGGTTTAGCCCACAGCGCCACCACATCCCTAGAGCTGTTAAAACCTCTTCTTAAATGCCTCACTTACCTTGAAAGCCCTATAGGTTCTGGCTTGATGGCATGTCAACATGCACAACACAAAGATTGAGGTACACATTTCCAGGTAGATTGCAGTGAGGGTTCCCCCCAAAAAAAGGTTTTTCAGAACCACACTCTTTTAAAAAATGTAGAAATGGCATTATGGAAAACTGTGTGCTAGGGCAAGCTGAGAGATTAGTGGAGGGGACAATCAGATGGGTGTTTGGCCCACAGTTTGGCCCACTGCAGGGATGCTATCATTGATATCATGGCTGGAGCAAACCAATGTGTTCCTACCCTCACTTTTCTGGCCCTTTCAGTGGTTTCTATTTTTAAGGGACCAGTAAGATCACTCCAGTGTGGTTTGCTCCCTGAGCGCATGACCCCTGGAAATGGACCAACAGATAATCTTCCTCTAATTTGCCAATATGATGAAACAACTTAAGAGGAGAGTCACTTCCTGACACTCACAAATTAAGCACTTTCTCCATTTCACAGAGAGGCCAAGGAATTGGGGAGGGGGGGAGAGCTGGAATTATATATAAGTGTGTTTTAGGCCAACAAATATTTGTTGCATCACCTTAAAGAGCTAAAAGGCTGGTGGAAAGGAAATGGGAAACTAAACACTTATTTAACGACAGTGGGCTGCTACAGACCAAATAGGGTTGCTTGGGGTCAATGGGCCATTTGGATGTGACAATCGCTCTAAATGACAGATCAGATCCCCCCGCAGCAACCATATTTAGCCTAGTCCAGCCCACTCCGAATGCTGCCTGGAGATAAGACTTAAGACATATCGAGGGTTCTCAAGTAAGTTTTGCAACCAAGGCTCAAGTCTTTCAATGTCCGATTTTAACACTTTAATCCCTACCCAACACTGGCTTTTTACTATGATAAATATCACCATCATCTGCTGTCAAGTCAAGTTTGACTCACCATGACCCTTTTCAGGGTTTTCTAGGCAGAGAGTACCAAGAAATGGCTTTCCATTCCCTTCTTCTGGGCACGTCCTAGGACTATGCAGCTTGCCCAAGGCCACCCAGGCTGGCTCTTCTGAGATGCACAGGCACGAAATTTACCTCCCAGCCTCTGGCTCTGCAGCTAGATACCTGAGCGATCCAGTCAGCTCTTAATTGCAGCTTATGGCAACCCTTTTCAAGGTCTTCCAGGTAGAGAATACACAGACGTGGTTTCCAATTTCTTTCTTCTCTGGCTGCTCCGGGACAGTGCAGCTTGCCCAAGGCTACCCAGGGTGGCTTTTCTCCCAGGAGATCCAAGTGGGGGAATCGAACTCTGAACCTCTGGCTCCACAGCCAGAAACATAAACCACCGAGCTATCCATCCATCTTGATAATTATCCTAGCAGTTGCTAATACTGTTCCACTTGCCTTTTCTTTAGCTTTTATGACTCTTGGTTGTTTTTTCTTTAGATTTAGGAGAGCCATAGTCTGGTATTAACGATGACCCTGCTTTGTGGCCCCAAGGATGAAGGAGAGGAAGTGGGAAAGAGAGACAAAAGGAGAAACGAAGGGTTGGAGGGTGAAGAGGGCAAGAGGGCATGCAAATAAATGGCACGTGGGTCTCAAAATGCTTCTCCTATATATAGCAATGCCTTTGGACTGGTTATGTGGTTGGCGATTAGTCAGCCTCCAGCCACACTTGACAATCATGTGAAATCCATCCTCCTTGGTGTATTTCGG